TGATGCTATACCTCCCCCCCCCCCTCTCTCTCTCTCTCTCTCTCTCTCCCTCTGTCTCATCTCATTCTACAGTTTTTTGGGGGGTGTGTACCGGGGATCGAGCTCGGGACCTTGCACTTGCAAGGCAGGTAGCAGAACCACTAAGCTAAATCCCCAGCCCTCATTCTACAGATTCTTATCATGCATATTAATTGTAGTAACAGAACTATTTCATCACCGAAAAACAAATCCCTTGGTGTCAGCCCTTTATAGTCATATCCTCTTCCAGCCCCAATCCTGCCAGCCACTGGCCTGTTCTCAGCACTGTAGTTTTGACACTTCAACACTGTTACCCAATAGAATCACAAACTATGTAAAATGTTGACATTAGCCTTTTTCATTCAGGAAAATGCCCTTGCGATTTATGCAAGTTGTATGCTTTATGCTTTTTTTCTTCTTCATCTTTTTTCCTTTTTTCAGTACTGGGACTCAAATTCAGGACCTTGCACTTATGAGGCAGGTGGCGGTACCATTGGGTTAAATCCCCAGCCCTGTTGTGTTGTTCTTTTATAAAGAAAACTCCTGTGAACACTCATGGATGGGTGCCCCTCCACCACTGCTGAGGATCAAACTCAGAACTTTGCGCTTGCCAGGCAGGAGTAGCACTGTGAAGCTACATCCTCGGCCCTTGGGTAAGTTTTTGTGTGGACACAGACTCAATTTCCTATGCAGAATAGCAGGAGTAAGATTGCTAGGTCAGGGGGCCGGGGATTTAGCTCAGTGGCCCCACACCTGCCTTGCAAAAGCAAGGTCCTGAGTTCGATCCCCGGTAACACACACACACACACACACACAGATTGCTGGGTCTTATGATCATTTATATTAATTCTGTGAGAAACTGCCAAAGTGTTTTTTCAGAATAGCTGTACTGTTTTACAGTCCCACAAGCCATAGGTAAGAGATCCAGCTGCTCTGAATCCTTGTAAGTTCCCTGATATTGCCAGTATTTTGTGTCTTAGCCACTCTAGGCGTGCACCTTCATTGTGGTAGCTATGCTGCACATTTCCCCAAAGGCCAGTGGTGTTGAACATGTTTTCAGTACATATTTGCCACGTGTATATTCCCGTTGGTCTTTTGCCCATTTTCTTTACTTATTTTGATTAGTGCGTGTTTGCAGTACATAATGACTGCATTCACCGTGGGGAGTTGGTGCATGGACACAACGCGTCGTACTTCTTCTTACACCCCTGCCCTCTCCCCTCCCCACTGTGGTCTTTTTTCTTTCTTTCATCTTTTTGAGACGGGGTCTCACTATGCAGTCCAGGCTGACCTTAAACTCACCATCCTTCTGCTCAGTGCTGGGATTAAATGTGTGTAGTGCCACAACCACTTCCAAGATTTTAATTTTGATGAAGTCGAGTTTATTGATTTTTTTTCCCCTTTATGGATCTCACGCTTGGTGTCAGGCCAAAGACTTCACTCAGTGGTTGTACAATGAATTATTTTCAGTATTTTTAATGCACAAGTGGTACTGCGATGGCGGCTGAGCGATGCAGATGCATGTAGGAGAGGAGCTGTGTTTAGGGAGGCCAGGCATAGAGAACCACAGTGTGGCAGCCGGTGTGGCACAAGGGTGGGGAGAAGAGAACTATGGCAGAGATGGGGCACCTGCCTGGTGACATCGGGTAGGCTTTGTGGGGGAGGTGGCACTTCTGCCTGGAGGATTTCAATAGCGCCAACGGGGCAGAAGAGGAAATTCCAGTCCAGGAAGAGCTGCATAAGCAGAGGAACAGAAGGGAGATGTAAAGGTGTCAGTAATCCCTGGACTCTGGGAGGCCATGGTGGGAGGATCGCAAGTTTGAGCCCAGCTGGGGAAAGTAGCAACTTAGGGAGACCGTGCCTCAAAATTTAAAAAGGGCTGGGAATGTAACTCAGCCCAAAGGCCTGCGTTCAATCCCCAGTACACACACACACACACACACACACACACACACACACACACACACAC